ATGAGCAGCTCTGAAGGCATTCAGCACAGCCTGCTTGCAAACGTGACACAAGTCAAGATTGACCAGATGAATCTTTTCATAGGGAAGAATTAAAAGTAATCAGAATAGAGACAATTTGAAAAAACGGCAGCGTTTCCATATGGCTGAATGCTGGGGCCTTAAGAAAGGACTGCAGCTTGCCAAGGATGGAAGGAATACTTATTTAAAAACCAAAAGGGGCTCTGCAGGCCTCAAACAGCACGGCTGCTGGTCAGCACACTGCAAACAGCAAACCTGCATCTGAAAACGGAGGCAAGACAGGACCAAGCTGAACTGGTGGCTAATGTCACAGATCTATTACCTTGTTTGCTTCAGTACCAAACTACGTTAACTTCAGCTATTGTGATCCTCGCCATTTCCAGGGCATTAACAACACCTGAAGACCCCTCTGGTGGTTTGCATGAACACAGCTGAAGCTTTCACAGCAGCTGTATTTATCAGCAGTTTGGAAATTAAAATGTTCCCTTTGTTAAGCTTTTAGATCAATATTTCATTAATATTAATGTGAGCCTTCAGAGCTCCCAAGATACTGCTTTAGGATGAGAGCGGTTTAAAACCGGTGCGTAGCTGAGATCAACTTCTATTGTTTTCTCTGCAGTCAAAAGAGCTGGGAGACTTTCATTTATTTTACGCAGAAGCACACACTGGAGCACATCTGACACCACATTTCTCAGTCAGAATACTCCGAAATACACAAGTCAATATTCAGAGAGAACAACGAACCCTTGTCCTCGGTCTCCCTGATGGAGGGATGACAAAAGGACCGTTTCCAATCATGACAACAGCTCATGACAGTCACCTGTGCATACGAGAAGCTAATGGTGAGCTGCTGTTAGACAGGCATTTTAATATCTGTTATAAACCTGGATCCTAACAACTAACTCAGAGCTTAAAGAGAATAACGCTAGGATGGCACTGAATATTGTTTATGAAAATGGAAAGAAGCTGAAGTCATTAGGAATCAACAGGGGACATTTGCTAGAAAGTCATCCCCATGCTGGGCAGTATTTTTGTCTTTGCTTTGCTGTTTCTAGTTGGGTTTTAAATCAAAATTCCCGAGTACCTGCTTCAAAGATGCCCTGAAAAGCTTGAGTAACTCCAGCCACTCACTGGAGCATTTTTGAGGAATAAGTGTCACCAGTAAATGTATCAAAATGGACAGAAATTAAGGCTGGAATATGTTGGTTAACCAGCCTGCAGCTCCAGACTGAAGACTGAGGATATCTTCCACAAATTCTGTATCAGAAAGCGGTAACAGCCTCAGGAGTCCGGCTCGTTCGAGCTTCTGACCTGCAGCCGCACTTCAGCTCTTGCTGTACTTGCATCAGTCCACCTACCTGTGGTCAGGAATTTTCTCTGCCAAGCCAAAGTCTCCCACTATTGCCGAGTACCCGTTCTCATCGTGTTTTATTAAGCAGTTCTGGAAGAAAAAGCAAACAAACAAAGCCAACAGAAGAGTTACTGTCTGGCCATGAAACCTACATACTGTTTGTTTCTCTTTAAACTGGAGCAGGACTACAAGATGTTGTTTGAAGACATTCATCTAGAGAAGCTTTTGTCCGAAAGCAGCCACCCTTTCCCCTGCACAGTCCCATTCCATCAGACTTCAGATGCTGCAAACAGCCTCACACGTGGGTAATAACCCACTTCAAAATGTGCTGAGGAAGCAGGCGGCCACAGGCAGCGCTACCCAGCCAGGATCGAGATGATTTAGCTGCCTTGCTGCTCAAGTATCAATATGTGCTCTTCACTACAACACCTTACGTTTTCCCTTCACAACTGGCCTGTGCCTGACCAGAATACAAGATCAGACTCTAAATGCCCGTGTCTATTTTGCTACATTAACTACTGAAAAGGAGCTTGCTGCTTTGCAGTAATTTTCATCAGAAAATACAAGAAGGGACAAAGTTATATGTGCTTTTAAAGTCTCAAATAAAATTCGATATTCTAGAGTATATCATAAAAGATGATTTAAGGGAAAAGACCAATAGGAAAAAGCCGTCACTCTTTTCAGATGTGCCCTCCAGTGTCAGAGGGAGGGCAGTTTAAGGACACGCACAGATTATTCTGGTCTGGCAGCACCACGTCGCACACTGGGTATGACCGATTCATGTCTGTTATTTATTTACAGCCCTGAGAAACGTGCTGTCACTTTTCCAGTCCCACACCTTTTCCCTCCTCACCAAATGGGTCGATAGCTGACTTCCCTATGGTTTTTCTGTCCTGCAAGACAGGAATTCACTCCTCACCGCGTGCCTTGCTCCTCATCCTTCTGCAGGCAGTGCCAGGCAGTGCCAGGCAGCAAAACCCCTGCAGCACGGGGACCTGCACTCAGCAGCAGGAAACACTTTCCAGCCCGATTGTCCTTGGACGTGAAAAGCCCCTCGCTGACCCCAGAGCATAGCTCGTCTGTGCAATGCAGCTACCAAGAAAAGCGAGCCCCTTGTCTGAAAGATCAAGTTCAGGTCACGGCTGTGTGCGTTATTCAGAGACGACTGTGGCCGAGGCCGTGAAGTGAGCTTTCTCCCTGCCAATTAAAAGGTTGAGCAAGTGACTCCTGCGATGGTGTAAAGCAAACGCACGCTGGGCTCCTGAGATGCAAAGTCCTGCTTGTTTAGCACGACTGCAGTCGAAGAAGTGCAGTTCGCTTGGGCATTCGGAAACATGCACCCAGTTAAGTCAACCACGCTTGCTCAGAGTGGCAAAGCTGCTCAGTGACGGCTTTGGTGCCTTTTCTCAAAGGGCACATTCGTTCATCCCGCCTCTGTTGAGGCATTTGGTCGCTATAAGTGGACTTAAAGCTGAGGAGGATAAAACTTTGCTGAGAAATCTTGCTCAAGTGATTCAGACAAGTGGAATTTCAACACAGAAACAGCCTGTGAGGACACCAGAGATCCTGCAGTGGACAGGAATGCTGACACTCGTTTACACAGCAAAATATCAGGTTATTTTCTGCCATAAAATCCAGCAGTTAACGATGATTCCTAATTCAACATTTACAAGAAAACCAAAACCACAACTCTATGGTTCATAGAAGTAGTTTTAAGACCTGCATTTCCTTCTTCCATTACCTTTGGCTATTTACATGTTGTTCATTTTGAGTAGCAAGACTGCAATGGTTCATTTTACCTTCTGGTTGTGTGGATTAGGGTTATTCTCTAATAACCCCAGTCTCCAAAATTTCAGGGGAACATTTAAATCCAGACCAAGAACTACTTTAAACGTAACTAAAAAGCTGTAGAAGCATTTCTATTGACCTTAAGATCTGCAACAACGTACAGGGCTGTTCTGATGCCCAAGGAGGCTTAAATGCAGCATCAACCTGACAGCCCGTTTCCCCCATTTCTTACCAGTATACAATCACATCCCATTAGACAAACAATGCATCCCAACTGAAGAGGGACAACCTGACCCAGCACCAAGCCCCAGGCAGTGTCAGCTCTCAGGTACAGCACTGAGTTGTTATTCGAGTAGATCAGTCCAAGATAAATCATAAATCAAACCAATAGTGCATCCAATCCAGTGGCCGAGTAATGGTACCTGACAGCGCTGAGCTCCTGCCTGGATGAGCAACGCTGGGCTCCCTTTCAGTGCAGCCTTTTCAGAAACCACCCAGAGCAGCCGCCCCGCTGCTGCGGGGTCCAAGGTCCTGCACAAGGCCATGGGGGAAAGCCTAGGGCCGCATTTCTGCTCTAAAGCCCTGGCCAGCTGCTCTGCTGTGGTGGGCCACACAATGCTCAATAACAAAGAAGGAAGCTAACCTATAATGTCTCTCATTAGGGGAAGTTTGTCTGCATATGAAGAAGTGCCAAGTGTGAATTTAAACTTATTAGGATACGTATTCCAGTATGAGAGTGACTTTTGTATTCACACTTCAATGAGCCGTGGGCAGGTGACCTGCACAGACAGAAAAAGTGACAGTGTCACCACAAATGCTCAGTGTAGCAAAACTGAACTGATTTAATTCAACTGGCAGAAATTCTTATGTAGCTGAGCAGCGATTTCCTGGAACCCAGAAAGGATGGGATCCTATTCCGACCAAAATCAGTAGTAAATCCCTTCTCCATGGATACTAGTGTGGTCAGATGTCACCTCTGAAGTCTGTCCTGCTCCTTCAGGACCAAGTTTTGCAGCTGGCGATGCTTCATTCTGTGCTGAGATTCTCCACGTGTTCAAGGAACCAGCACCACCACCAGTCCTTCTCCACCGCCCCAGTAAAGCCATTGCACGGAACGGCACCAAAGCCACTGCACAGACAGTTTGGTTACCGGGTTTAAGAAGCAACTGAATAAAAGGTGACTAACACAGCCCACAGTTCACATGTGTGTGATAAAAGACATTTCTAAGCACTCACATTCTACTGCCACGATAAATCAAAGGGACAAAGCTTCATTAGAGACTAAAAGGTTGAAAACAGCTTTTAAATTCAAGTCAGAGGGGGCATCTCAGTAGGAAAAGTACAACAGAGCACGCTGCACTGCTTCTACCAGGAAAGTGAGACTTCTCAGACTCTATACGTGCTTTCTGTTTTATAATGTGGTATGAAGAAGTTTCATTAACGGGTTTTGGCACAGAGACACAAGGGGTTCAAACCCCTCTCTGGTGCAAAAAGCCTCTCAGAAACTGCCTACGAGACGAAATGCCAGGCAGCTTTACAACAGGGGCTTGAAGGAAATGCTGTCAATTTACTACTGCACTATTGGTATCAGCGGCAAGGCAGTCAAGCACGATGACCTTCCCCTGCTTTCTCTTTGGACCTCTGCAGACAGGGATGTTCCTGCCTTTGGCAGCTCCCGCCGTCGGAGAGGGCAGTGTCTGACTTCAGCTGGCTTCTCCAGGGGTTTTCCCCCCCAAAACAGGGACCCCATCGGTCCTTCCTGAGGCAGCCTCTGAAGGGAAGCAAGGAGCTCAGTTCACGAGCCCTAAAGAGTTAACGGAGCTGTTTATGCAGAGACAGATGTGAAGGAACATAAAGCCCCCTTTGTGCGTTACAGGGGCTTAACATCTGCTTTGCGCAGCATAATCCTACTACAACGAACGCAATATTCTTCTCTCCCTTTTACACAAACAAAAACGAAAATAGACCCAAGAGTTTCAGAGTTAAAAATAAGTTACTTGGATGAAGAAACGTCATCATTTTATTTTACTGCATGACATACAAGCTAAAACTCCTCGGAGCTTTTATTGCACTCCAGAAAATACAGGAATGCTATTGCAGTGTCATTTGCAACCCTCTGATGGCTGTTACTGAATTAAAACACCTAAAGGCCAACTGAGATGGATCAGCTGGTTTTAAAGTGCCATCCCCTAGGAGAAACACCACTGACAGTTAAATGTACAACAGGAAGTCTACCATATACACTTTAGAAACTAACACCATTATGTGTAAGGGACAGGCTCCAGGGGGTCTCAAAGGACCAGTAAAAGATTAGTATTGACTATCACCAGAAGTAATCATCTCTAACAGCCAATTTTTGCAGTGCAAGCCCTCCCCTGCAGTGCAAAATCTCCAGGCCTAAGCTTGCTCTTGCACAAAGGGCACCTTACAACAGCAGCACCAAGTACGGGACTCGTCAGACAAAGGCTCCGTTCATTACTTGGGGTTTATTTTGCTTTAAACAAGCAAACAGCGCACAAGGTAGGAAGTCAGGGTATGTCACGTTCAAGCCCAAGGGCAGTGAATTTGTTACATCAGATAACCCACAGTAATTGCTTACACGCATGATTCGGTCCCATGGTAACTGCGACTATAGCTCTCCATGAAAGAAGCGACGTGAAAGTGTATGTTGGCAGGAATTCACACACGTGTGTGTGTGTACATGTATCTTTTTATATATATACACACACATATACATTAGAGAGAGATATAGATAGGCCTAGAGATTGGAATTTCCTCACAGGTTTAATCACCAGAGCTCACCATGCTCCCTGAAACCGCTCTCAATCTACTATTGATTCTAAGACCTTGTGTTCAATGGTACATAAATCTGCAAGACCAAAAGGCATTTGTTTGAGGGTTTGCCTGTTTGGTTTTAGTCAAGAGCTTGGGTACTGGGGGTTTTTTTGGGGGTGGAGTTCAGCTAAGACAGCTCAGCTGCTTGGGAGAACAAACCTAGAATATGTGCTGCAAGGGATTTTGAAATACTGAAAATAAAAATATCCTCAAATATACTAGGTTAGGGTCTGACACCCAGATCTGGCATGTTCTCAACTCGCAGCATGTCGAGAACTCTGTAAGATGCACCTTTGGCCACCCCTGCAAGAAGCAGGCTGGGACAAGACATCTGCTGTGTGAGGGACCTGAAAGAGCAGACGTGACAGAGCAGGGGTCCAAGCGAGGGGCTGGCAGGGACCAAGATCAGGGTCTTGAGATGGGGACAGGGGAAAAAACCCACAAAAAACCCAAAGACCATTCAGATGACATAAGAACTGCAAGCACAGCCAACATGTGGTAGTGGTGGTGGGGAAGCAGAGCTAACTTGGCTCAGCAGAACAGGGGAAAGCTAGAAATGGCTCAATGTACTGAAGACAAAAATGCAGAAAGAGCTCGGATAAAGCATCACGCAGGAAGAACTACAGTCAGCAGACAAGGAGATTGAACAGTAAGGTTCAGGGCAGGAACTGGGAGCAAAAAGAAGAGGAAAAGCCTTGGAACAAGGATGCAAAGCTTGTCTGGAGACTGGTATTGCACACTAGCAGAGAGGATTGGACAGAGCAGGGATGCTCAGCCATGGAAGGATGGGCAGACTCCTAGACGTTCACTTCTCACTGCCAAGGGGTCTCTCTGGTGCCTCTGTCTATTCCTGCTCCATAGCAAAATCAATGTACATTAGTAATACTAATTCACAGTAGTGCCGAACACTAAACATTTAATCTATCAGTTACTGTATTCACTAAAGCAGCAGATACATCTGCCATGAATCTCGAGCTTCTAACCCTGCAAATGAAGTGCGTAATGCCACTGGGTTTTGTCCTTATTTTGTTTTAAATTGGTAGGAACTTGCCCACAACAGACACTGTATCAAGAAATGAACACTGCACAAAAGACAGTGTGTAAAACTTCCTGTGAGGACGCTCATTCTTTGCCTTAGGCATCCACATGAAGGTGAAGTCTTTCACTACACATCCACATGGACAGATCTCCAGCTGCACCCATGTCTTGTTGAATGCAGTGGATTCACACTGACAGGGAACTGGAGCTGTGCATACAACACTTGCACTGCTGTTTGCATGACTCTGGCCACTCTTGCCACAGAAGCAGTAGGGTGTAAAAAAGGCTGGGAAGAGATGGAAAAGAAAGGCTGGGCTGGATGTGACGCTCCTCTGTCATGTGGCTGAGACCACTGAAACGTTGCCCCAGGATCTGGATTCTGGCCTCCCTCAGCATCACAGGAGGATTCCGGGGCAAGGAAGAAAATTTAACAAAATCCTTCTGAGATTGCTGCTAATCTTGTGCTTTTTCTGCCTCCAGGGGTCAAGCCTGCCTATTTTGTAAGTGCTGCATGCTTCCAACTGTCCCTGAGGTCAGTGAGCGTATTGCCTTGAAGTTAAATGTGTGTCAAGTGCCAAATATTCCAAACTGTCTTAAAACACATACCAAATATTCACCAAAACTCTTGCTTTTAGCCTGTCCTGGTAAGACTGAGTTTATTTATCTCCCTCATCTCAGAGGCTGTAAAAGTAAATGCACTGATGCAGGGCAGTCACTGGTGCAAACTGCCAAAGAGATCGATAGTGCAGGGTTGACTGCAGCGCAAACACCGTGTAAACAAGGTGTTGGAGGAACTCAGCCGTAGTAAGATGTCTTCTGAGGGGTGAGTACAGAAGGATTTTGCTGTATTCCTTCTGCAGGCTGGACACTTACCTGTGCCCTCCCAAACACAGTTATGTTACCTGTAGGTAGCAACAGACAGAATGTTGCAGAAACAAGGCAGATTAAGAACAACTGTATCACATCCACTGGTTCCTACTGAAACACTTCCCATGTTTCGCACTGTGATTGCGGTGCTGCCTATGACTGAGGCTGTCAGAGTTAACATTCATAAACAGAAAGTCCTCATGATTCCGGAATCCAATTTCTCCTTGTGCACATTACAGTGAGCCCCAAATCAAACACAATGCAGAGCCTGCAGTGATAGGGGTCGGGTACAGGGAACGAGCCAGCTGGGCTGGTTGTCATAACCCGGCTATGGCTGAGCGCCTGATTTCTGTATGACAAGTCCAAAGTGAGGACACCAGCACACGCACTGGTTTACAGGATGCACACCCACTGCAAACAGCCGATGTGACCGGTGGGCTCCTGGCAGACCGAGGTTCGGCTGTTGGTGCTGGTCAGGGCAGATCAGCCCGAGCAGCCGCAGCAGCCCCAGCACCGAGCCGCTGGTGGCAGGGGCAGGGAGCAGCTGTGTGAGCAGCGGCTCCTCCACCCGGCGCTGCCGCTCCCGCTGACAGAAGGGCAGCAGGAAGGGCACCAGTGGGATGTCAGGGCTGACATCCCCCGTGGGCTGCCACATCGACTGTCATGACCTACATGTACACAGCTCTGCCGCGCTTCCCTCTGGCTTCCTGCAGTATCACTGCTGCTCTGCTGCTCTGCACGCGGTGCAGTTAGGAAGAAAGGGAGCTCTGCTGTACACTAAGTGTCAAAACCACAGATTTTTCAATCCTAGATTGGTGAAGAACAGTGGCTTTTCATAGACATGTTCTGATGGTAGCAGTGTAAGACAACACTGCTGCCACAACTGACAGAATGAACTTGATGCATTCATGCATCTGCTCCAGGAATGAGAGACTTGCCAGAAACACAAGAAGAAAGGCAGAAACACAGGTCTAAATTAATCCCAAGTCATTTTGATAGTAAGATTTCTATTAGAGGGATAATTTGCAGTGGGCTGGTAAGTGTAACAGGTAATGCATGGAGTCATTCCTGCAGAGAAAGGCACAGTTTTGTAAGAACAAAGACAGCTCACCCCACCACCGCTGCAAACCTGGTAAAATACACAGCATCGCCTCCAGCAGCAGCCAAAAGCCACGCTCAGCTAAGAACTGCAGTGGCTGCTTTTTGCTATGGTTATGATCTGGATTCTTTTTCTTTGAAATGATGTGACTTGTTTAGAACTCGGCCAGCAGGGCAAACGTTTGCCCAGACTTAATAATAATACATTGATAAAATTCACAAGGACACGGGTGCTTAAGGCCAGGGGTTTAATCTACTTCCTTTCCCAAACAGAACAAACAAGTGCATGCATCACCTCAAAAAAAATATAACAAATTAAGTTAAAAAACCCAAGAAACTGGAAAATACAGAATACAGCTAATGACCTTCACTTTTATCCTGACAGCTTCCTGTTTGACGCACACGGATCCTACACCATTAATACTACGAACCATTCAAACACAGCACAACTACCAGTAAATTCTTCAGGCTGGGCTGGTTTGCTGTTGGGGTGTTTTTGCTGGTTTTTGGAATAACCCTCACTACTTCCCATGGCCACCGATGAGCTGCTCTCGCAGGGAAACCGCACGCTCCTCCCAGCGGGTGCGTTTTCGGGACAGTCACCATTGGACAACAGAGCCCATTGAGGCACTGGCAGGAACACAACAATGAGGCAGAGCTGGGAACAAAGGCACTCGCACACGGGCTCAGGAAATGTTTTGTCATGGCTGGCCATTGCAGTTCGTGTCTGTGATAAATGCTGCAGGCGCTAAGTTCGCCTCAGTTACTTTGGTTCCCCACTCTTAAATGTGATAAAATACATCCTGAAGGAGAAATTTAAAATAAAAGGGAGGTGGAGGAGATCACTAAATGATCATTTCAGGTATTTTCACACATCTCTTACCTGCACACCGCGAGGTGACTGAAATGGAGCTTTCCGAGCGTATCATGTCAGAGTGACAGGACTCCAAGCCCAGGCATTTCTCATAAATCTGATACTGTTCCTTGAAGGATTCGGCACCTTTCACTTGAAAGGGCACCCAGAGTATTTTCTGACTTCACTGAAATACTTCCTTCACCTACCAGTTGGACTGTTTTTCCCCCGTGGCTAAAGCACATTCTCCCTCAGTTTAACAGTGCGCTGAAGGAGCTCTAGAGAAAACTAAAGCTGGACGGAGGACCAGCAGTCACCTGCATTTGCACACACACTGCGCTGTATTTTTATCTTTAAAAGCTGCTTCTGATCTTAAAAAGTAGCTCCTTTTAGGCTAAGATAACATTCTTCTGGATGCTTTTGACTGAAGTGATGTTATGAACAGTTTTGGAGTACTTTCCTGTTGCGAGTCCCCAGCGAGCTTAAACGAGCTCATTAGCTCCAGACAACAGGACAGCCAGGACAGCAAAGCCCCCAGCACAGCCTGCAACGGGTGGCAAAACCCAGTGTGCGCACTGGGACAAGCTGTTCACAGAGCTCAGTGCTCCTAGGTCAGTGTTTCTGGCTTGAGTTAGCCAGCTACTCCAACAACTGCATTCACACGAGTTGTCACCAAAGCAATTCAAACAGATCCATGCTCATTGAAACCTCTGCTACTGGAACATCGTCCTGGAGGAAATTCTGGAATTGAGAAGTTTTAGGTAAACTGTTTTGATCTTCCTGACTTGAGAAATGAAAGGAATACAAACCAGGATTGCAGGCAACCCTTAATGCTCAATAAGTAATGAAAGGTTACTCTTCCTACTGAAGATTTGTGAAATACACGGGGAAACAAAAGCAAGGAGGAGATTTTAAAGCACATTTGTACTATTCTCCTCAATTTGGTGTTTTTATATTATTGATCTGTTTCAAACATTAGATATTTATACCTAATTATCCAGGGATTTAAATTACTGAACCGTAATTCAGAACTAAAAGTCTCTGCAGCTGCTTTCTGAGAAATCCTAATCTGAACTCATCTAAGGAATGACCTTCTTTCAGGACAGTTATCACTCCAGGTCCTGTACAAACTATCAACATGTTTTGAGGAAAGTTTTAATCCTATAAATTGTATTTCCATTTGCTTCTCAGAATGTCTTAGATCACAGCCTTTATAACAGCAGTTCTCTGCTGGAAGGAGGAGAAAGAACCAAGCAAGCAGTTACAGGAAGTACCTCATTAAAAAGTTCCCTTAAGTTTATAAATGGTACCTTGGATGTAAGGTCTCGGTGGAAAATGCCTTTATAGTGGAGATAACTGATTCCCATGGCAATGTCGTACGCCAGCTTCACCCTCACCGTCCAGGGCAGATGCTGGTTACTGTCCAGTAGCTGCTCCAGGTTACCGTAGTTGATGTACTGAAAAGGGAAAACATTTGTCATTAATTACTGACTTCATACATTGCCATATATTGAATTTAAAATTCATCGTTACAGCAGCGTCCTTGGCTCAGCCACGCATTACAAACTTCTTTCCTTAAGGGCTAGGCAGGCACAAAGGGTGCAGATCAAGAGGGGCTGAAAATGTCTCCTCGCCCACCTGCACCAATGCATTGACTCCGTGGTATTTAAATACTGGTGTTTAAATAGACCCTTCAGAAACATCTACAGTATCATATCACCCTCTCATTTCAGTGTGAGGAAAATAAGGGCAAAAAGGATGAAGAGCTGGCTCTCATACAGGGCAAGTCAGAGCGAGGGTTAAGTACCCAAGTGTGGGTCATGGAGCCTGATCAAGTTCCCAAACTGAAGCTGCAAGGAAAAATATTACGACGTCGTTATTATGATTACATTGCTGTAAGTTATGTTTCTTCCCACTGCTGTATCTGCGAGTCCTAATCAGCAACCTGATTCCACTGTTCTCAGCTCTAAAACAGCCCCCTCAGATGGCAGCCCTGGTGAAAAGGGGCCTACAGTAAGTACACAGTAAATGCTACAAGAGACAGTGAAACACAAGCAGAGCAGAAAGGGTCATCTGCTCCGAGCACTGACACCGCAGCAGGGTACCCCAACTCTGCTCCCCTGTGCCAGGCAGCTCCCCAACTCTTCTTCAAGAGGCTCTGCACTTGCCCGTGTCATTTACCCAGACAAGACGTGTGTCACTATTATCACATTAAAATTAAATTCCTAATTGCAGCTCTTGTCATGTCAGAAACTTTGAACCTGCTTATAGTTTTGGGGGCTTCTTTGTGCCTTGAAGCCTGAGGCCCAAGGCAACATCGAACACAGACCATGCAGTGTGGATGCAGCCGATCTCCTCAGACCACGCACACAAGCCAGACTCTACTACAGCAGAGTCTCTGCTCTGCTCACAGTCCAGAGTCACAGCTCACCTCCTGGATAGTCTACAAAAAACCAGCTTCTTCCGTACAGTCAGGGCTTGTCTTTTCCTGAGCTAACCAGGGAAATGTGAAAACCTCTCTGCAGATACACAAGTTCCACAGGTTATTATTAATGAGGTTCCTTGTGTATCTGCTGAAAAGGGTTTTCAAGTTCCACAGGTTATTATTAATGAGGTTCCTTACTCACAGGTTACTAGAAATGGTTAATGTATTAAAAGCTTGCCAGGACAGGGCACCACAAAGCAGCGTGGGGCTCCACAGCTCCCCTCAGCTCCCTGCACATCCCACACCCCAGCCCAAGCACAGCAGCACATTTCACTGCCAGTCCAGGACACGGCCCCTCTCTCTCCAAGAGGCTCTGGTGACTACTGGAGAACGGCAGCACACAGACACCATGGGCACAAAGCATCCTCAGCCTCAACAATTGCTTTTCTCCTTTTAAATACAAACCTGGGCCTGATGACCATGCTGTGCATCCACCTTTTGTCCCTGAGCAACAAGCGAGGCCAAGGGTGAGCACGAGAGTCACGTCTTTGCACTCAAATGTTCTTCAAAAGATGATTTATCAGCTCTAACCCGAGCCAGATTTGAGCTATCAACTCCCTGTCATGGGAAATGAGGCAATCCCACTACAGGTGCCTGGGTCTAAGAAATGCTCCAATATTTAGTAATTACATTCTTGTGACTACTTCAAGATGCTGTTTCGTATCTTTTTGCTCCAATATTTAGTAATTACGTTCTTCTGACTACTTCAAGATGCTGTTTCGTATCTTTTGCATTATTCTAACAGCAGGAGAAAGAGTGCAGTGATATGCAGGAAAGGATTTCAAAACAAGATACATAGAAACAGAGTGTTTCCTTAGACTATTTGTATACCAAACAGGCAGAAATATATTTGTGTTTTACAATTAGGCAAGGAAAGCTCTTGACCTCTGAAGAGTGTTCTGACCGACGTTTCAAAATGCACTGTTCTGTTCTTTAGTATCATTTTCTATCAAACTATTTTGTGCTGAAGTCCAGATAATTTAACTGCTGATAAATGCGTGCTTAGCGCGTATCATTCTCCAAAATAAAATACCTGCTGGCCCCGCTCCCAAAACGAAGGCAAACAAGACTACGCACAGCAATGATAAAAATCTGTGGTTCGGGCTGCGGCAGCCCGGGCACTGCTGGTGGGGAAGGGACTTGATCAGATGATGCCATTGGAAACCAGAACTTGCAGGCTGGTGCAGGCTGGAGATCCAAACCGAGCCGTCCCTGCGCGAGGGGTTCATGTGTCAGCAAAGCACAGCAGCTCTGGGACAGGTCAGAGGCTACGCGATCTCCATCCTTGGAGGTTTTCGGCACCAGCCTGGCTCAATGCTGGAAACAATGCTGCTTTCAGCTCTTCCAGCTTTGATCTTTCTTTCTCATTGCTTTTATCTGAGCCCCAAAGGGAGCTAGATGGCCTTACAGAGCACTCAAGAAAAAAAAACAACTCAATATAATTCTGTTTTTTTTAAATAAATCACAAGTTGCTAGCACGCTTAAGGAATAATGGTGAATAAGATCTCTACATTAACTTGTTTTATATTCACAGCCTACTTGAAACAGCGTGAGCAGCTGTGCAAATCAGCACAGTATTGACCAACCGGAACAGAAGGCACTAAAGCACTCGGCTCATATGCATTTATAAAGTGGCACTTGCCAATTATCCCAAACCACTTCACCTTTCTGACTGGGCAGTAACAGACTGCCCGTGTAGCACTGCCATGCTAGGGTTGTGCCATATTGTGACAGCAATTGCTCCAGAAATGCTAATAAATGAAACAAGCAACCCCAGTTTGTGTGTATTGACACACACACTGAAATGTGGCAACAGCCACATACCTTGAGCATCCTCATGCCTTCGTTTTCAATAGTCACCTACAGATTTGAAGGTGTATCTATCTCCCCAGCATCCTCCAGCCAGACTGGCTTGTGGGGTCATTCAACCACCTGAACTGCAAGCACTGGATTGTGCAGGACAATTGGCGCACACAGAGGACACAGCACGCAGGAGCTGCAAGAGCAACCCTCAAACCTGACTCCAGCGCATCCATGAACCCCACCAGGTCTCCTATCCAAAACCACCACTTGGCAACTGCTCAGACCCCATTTATTATAGGTGTGAGTCCTGGTTTTGGCTCTCATTTCTAGTGTACCTCTATGCGGCACAGCAGGGTCATCATCAAGTGCATAACAGATTTTCCTACAGACATGCTTCAGACTCTAGCTGATCTCGGACTTTAGCTGGCCAGCAGGTAATGCTTGCATGCAGAGCTCTGAACTGTCCCCAGGGCAAGCAGCACAGAGGCAGTGCTCCCTCAGTGTCACATCAGCAATCCAAATCTTCCGGTCGTTCAGGCCGACGATGCAGACAGCCAGGCTGATGGCCTGCTTGTTTCCAGAGCCCTCCAACAGTGCCTTTTCTGAACAGACAAAATCATTATTGCCCAATTTCCTAAATTATTGTTTCCTAATTGCCAATGCAACTGAAACAAAAACACTTGTTCTCAATCTCTTACCAGCGCGAACCAGCTCCATGCGGTAAGAACATCCTAAAGGACAGTGAGTGCACCTCTCCCAGAGAGAATACTGGGTTTTATTTTGTCCCTGAAGCATCTCGGTGCTGGCACAGTAAGGCTGCAGTGCGCCCCATCTGAAAGCACTGCTATCCTACAACAGCCACTGTGTCAGCGTGCAAGCAATGGGAGCAGAGACCCGATCGGGCTGTGACAACGAAAGCAAAGGACACTGCATTTCATACAGAGACCCCGCAGCTCAATGGAGCAGTGTTCAGGCCTTTTTCAACTGGGTATCATCAGGTTGCAGCGACACAGCAACCCATTCTTCCTCCTGCTACCTTTTTGTCAGGTAACAGGACCCCAGCAGCCAGTCTATTACCTCTGCTTGCTAGAGGCAGAAGTAACTGCTTTAGGTTGTTGATATTTGCATTTACTGCAATGCAACACAGCAAACTGACTGTTTTGGCTGACAAAAATATTATTTTCCTTTGGATTTATCCATGGTAAGAGCTCGTGCTTTGGTTGCTAGAACGAAGGCTTAACAAACCTGCATTTGTGACACCTCCTGAGCCTTATGAGGAAGGGGGGCAGTAGCTGCTTTGAAGGACAAGGCACCCAGAAGCTCAGACAAGCGTAGGTGCTCTCTGGATGAAAAAAGAGCCTTGAAGAGGCTTCTGATGGTACAGCTTAACGTTAGGAAATGCAAAAGCAGCAGTGGGTAACCCTTTCCCACACAGCAGTCAGGGCACAGGGAAACGGGGTATTTTAACTTCAGAACAGGGTAAGAGGACTGCTTCCTTGGAAGACACTTGCAGCCACATTATCAGCACGTTAAATGAGGAATGGGATGAAATTCAGCCTATGATGGTACTTACACATAGCATTACCTGCTTCATTGCAAGAGATCAACACTGAACTTCAGCTTCAAAATCCAAATTCAAGGTTTGAACACAGTAATGGGAGAACTAGAAGGTTTTTTTAAAAGCTGCATCGGATTCACGTCGTTTCAGCAGTTACTGCTCAAAAACAAGGCCTCCAAACATTGCCAAGGCTGAGGGGGAAGAACTGCAAAGAGTTTTCAATGCTACTTTGAAAACCAATGCTATTTTAATACCTAGGTCTAATATAAATAAGCCACCAGATACTGCACAGGAAAGCCAGAAAAAAGTTGGCCTGCTGTTTACTCAGCTCTAAATGTCACTTGCCATTTAAAAAAGCAACAAATAACCACAAAACACCCCTACATGGTAGCCCAAATGTTGCCAAAGGCAGCGAGTGGTTAAGAAAAGTAGGTGTGGAGAGCACATGTAAGATGAGAGAATACACAAGGGAAGTCAAGAAGAGGAGCTCTGGAGACCCAGAGCACCACCAGACAAACACTGGATCACACAAATGAAGAGACTGGAGGAGCCCAATGAAGGAAGCAGAGAAGCAGGAGAAAGAGAAGCCAGAATGGTGGCTGGAGCACCTT